GTCATAAACTGATAGTTAAACAAATACTCTGTAGACTGTATCACATGTGGTCGAATATTTTTCACAATTTTGTTTTTATATTACTTTCTGTGGAGCTTTGAGCTGTGTAATCAATTAATTATATTCTAATAATGAATTTGATAATTGTAATATTTAGTATAGTTTAGGACTATGTAAACAAATACATAAAAATAATTTAATTATTTTGTTGTTTAAGTATATATAAGTACCTACAGTTATTAATTTTAATACATACATTTATTTAAAATTTATAAGACATTTATTGAATTACTATGTTATTTGTTAGCTTAAAAAAGGTCCCTAGGTATAATTATTAATTTTGTATGTCACAAAAAGTAACTGATTTTTAACCAAGTTTTTAAACAAAATAAAGGTAACTTTTAACTTTGAACTTAATTTACATTTTCTATTTTACTTAAATTAAGGAGTTAAAAAAAATAGTTAACTTGCCCATTCTTAGTTATTTGTAATTTATATTATAGTTATTAGAGATAATTCATTATTGTTTAAGGTTTTATACATTTATATTGATTATTCGGAGTTAACTGAATTTTAACATATTATTCGGAGTCTGCTGTTGCTATATTTACTTAATATTATGATATGGATCATATTATATGATACATCCAAATATCCCATTGTTTCCTCAATTTTTCAAATTACTCAAATTTCAAAGATTATTTTATACATTCATGTTCGGTTATAATCGCCTTTTTCCATTTATGCCTTTCAACTCTGTTTCATAAAAATTAAATTGCAGGCCTGGGAAAGTAAATGATAAATTTTAATTGAATTAAGTTAAGTTGATAGAAAACATTTAAAATAGTTTAAAGTTAATAGTTATCCTAATCTTATTTTCAACTCAGTTAAGTTGAAAGTTATATGGAGACTTACATAGTTAACTTATTATTATTGTAAGTTAAGTTATATTTTGTTAAATATATATAAATAGCCAGTAATATGGTTTAAAATAATAAAAATCATAGATATTATTGACAGTATTTGATTAGTTTTAATCTAAAAATTTAAAGCAATAATTACTCATTTATTTAATTTTACAACATTATGACAAAAACATTTTATAATATTTTATTGACAATTGTACCATTGATTAAATATACTATATATTATATGTATATTTAATCAATGATTGTACATTAGTACCTATATCATATTATTAGTATTTATTTTATAAATATGCAATATTATGTATTGTAAATATTATTATTAAATTATTTCCTTATAGCATGGTATGGAATTATGTTTGAATTAATTATGTTATTCTTATTGCACAATTCTATTTAATGGAACAAGACATAAATTAAATTAAATTTTTTATTTCTTATTTTAGTAAATGTTTATGTAATATGCATCATCAATAATAATTTATTATATTTATTGTTTAATTATTTATAAATCAATGTAACTTAGTTTTGATTAAAAGTAACTCATTATTTATGAAGTTTATATCAATGAAAATTAAGTTAATGAACATTTAATTTAAAAAAAGTGGACAAGTGGGTATCGCTCTGTTGTACAGTAGGATACAAGTGGATCACTGGAAATTTGAATTCAATGATATAATAATATTGTATAAGAAAAACAATTCTGAGCAAAGACAGTAAATCAGCCCATGATATTACTATTTACTAAGTATATTTGATGATATAATTGTGAATAAAGTAATTTATAAATAACCTATTTACGTGGACACTTATTTTAAATTTTCAATCCTTAAAAGTAAAATAAAATAAAATAAAAGTTGAACATTATATACATTTTTAAATACAAAATAATTATTAAATTATGTCAACATTTGATCTTTAAATGCTTATAAAAATAATTGTGAATATGTATTTTTAATATTTTTCAATTGCTATTGTAACAATATATTATTAGCCTTGTATTAAGTTTTCATGCCTTTTGGTTCAACAGATAAAACTTTATTGATATTTATTATTCATAGAAAAAAAAAAAATTGAAATTGACTAAACAGCTCAAAACGAGTCAAAATATTTTGAAAATACAGTCATTTGTTTTTGAGTTTGTTTTTCCTTAATTTTTATTTTATTTTTCACGGTGCTTTTGAAAACTACTAGAAAATGTTTACTTTTGACCCCCCCCCCCCCCATCAATGTACCGACTAGATTCACTTTATTATCAGAAAAGATACTGTTAAAGAAAATTTAATCACTTTTACTGTCCCAAAAGGTGATGACAGACACATAAAAAAAATTTATTTATTTGTTTTATTTGTTTCAAATTTAATATTTCAAAGATTTAATAATTTTTTGTTTTGTGTAACCACTAACCACTAACCACCGTCCACCGGCTATATTATAATGCGTGAACATAATTTTTGAGTAGGTATTTAAATATTTGTTCCATAAATCATTACCTTGTGATCGGGCACCTATAGGTACATTAAAATAATATTTATAGCAATAAATTATAATATAGGTAATACAACAACTAATTACACTCGGACAGTAAAAATGTTTAACGGATAAGCATTTTAGATTTATAGAGTAATATAAAGATTCACAAAAATTAGATTTTAGTTACCAAGGTTTCGTCCAAAATAGGTTTTTATCGTACTATATACTAGGGGTGGCCAACCGGTCGATCGCGAGATGAATTCAAGTCGATCGCCGACACCCTTTCGCATTTTTTTAAATTTTTGAACAATTTGGTATATCCCACGAATATAAAAATTAGATTTAGAAAAAGACAATAAATAACAATGAAAAACAAGATTATACATTGATATCTATTAACTATCGTATTATAGGATGGATAGCCCGCATTACTTCCTATTAATGGCCTTTATCGCGTTCGTATAAACTGATAAATCGAACCAGTCTGCAATGACAGTTACAATAAATATAATAAATATATACATATATACCTAGTACATTGATTAAATATACTTATATACTAATATATACTAATATACTTATATTTAATCAATGCCTAGTATAAATTAATATTATCTTATTCTAGTATTGCGCTTCAAGTTATAACACATTTTAGTTTAATTCTACGATCAGTTGTTCGTAGTATCGCATTCGTGACTCGTGTATCGTGTGTGTATTAAAATACGTGTAGTGTTATAGTGTTAAACTGTTAATTTATATTGTAAATAAAAAGTAATAAATAAAGTGTAACACGCCTGTACACATAATAAATTTTTTGTTTATTTTTTTTTTTTTTTGGTCGATCGCGACCACCTAGAAAAACTCGGAGGTCGATCGCAGGTCTATCAAAGTTGGCCACCCCTGCTATATACTACCAGAATACTATCGTAATAACACGTTTGATAAAAAAATTAATGTACGGCCAGCCGTACCTATACATTTTTATAATAAATAATAATATTTAATAATATATTATAATATATAATATCTAATCTATTATCTATAAATTACATAAGGGAATTTGTGGGGGACGGGTAGGCCGAGCGGACTAACGCCGTGTTATACGTGTATCCCATGACAAATTAGATAGGTATCATCACAGTTGTACTAGTTTTGCGCAGTAGATACGCATCTCCTTCACCTCCTGCCAACATAGTAGTTGTCCACTTCTCATTGATTGGTTTTGTTTTATTTTATATATGTATGTATTTGATTGACAGCCAATAAGAAGTGGAGAACTGCGATAAAGGCGAAGTAAAGAGCGGAGGATGCGTATCAAATGTATACTGTGATGATACCTATCTAATTTGTCATGGTGTATCCGACAAATGCGACTAAAAACAAAAAAGTTTGTATTTCGTCGCATCGGTCGCATCGTATTGCGACGGAACAGCATTGTCAGAATAGAAATCGTCGGACTCGCTGGATTTAGGTAGGACACGGTGTAAGGCGTTGGTTGCGACGCCGGTTCAAAACCTCGGTCGCGGGGGTCATTTTTCTTCGTGCAAGTCACGGTGTCCGGAGAGAAGTGCCGTACATCCATATTTTTATTATTTATTATATCCTGTAAGTTGAATTTATATTGGAATAGGTAAATAGGTATTATTATTTTTTATTCGTTTCTATGGTAATGATTAATGAACAAAGCGTTAGAAATTAAAATCCCATTTTTAGTGGTTTTTCGTAATATGTCAGTGGTTTTTCCTGTGGCATTAAATAACTATTGAGAAAATCGAAAAAATACCTTTCTAAAGTAGTATCTTGATCCAATTTACTAAAAGATAAGCTAATATATGTTGAAATCGAAGCACTCCTTCTGGTAGATATTTTGTATACAGGATTTAGAAAAAAAAAAATAAACACCATTGTATAACCACTAGTTTCCTTGCTCTGCTCAGAATCTAAAAATGTCATATATTGAAAAAATTACTGTGAATGGAATGTTGACATCTCAAATAGTTGTTGTTGTATCTACCAATTATCGGTGATGGTGCAGCATGCCTGCCATGCCTGCCTTTTCCGTTCAATTTAGTCGGTATGCCCACAAGTTTAGTTATTTTGGCACCAACAAGAATTACAGCTAATGTAGTTTATAGAGAAATATTATATTAACACTAAAAATCAGCTTGATAAACAATTAATATCGTATTAATATTGTATGTATATACATATATATATATATAAATAATCTTATTTACATTTTATTTAACTAGACAATATTTAATCTTAGCAGATAACACCAATACATAAACCCGGCAGCGTCGGGTAATTCAGCTAGTATTATATATATAAATATGAAATACACATATAAAAATAATATCAGAATATCTATACTATATTATACATGAAAGTGAATAGGTACGTATATAATATTATAGTCTCATTCTTATCGTAATTTTGTACTACTGACCTATGTTTGTAATTGAGTACCTATTCTTGATTTTTTTTACGCAGGTTTCAATATTATATAAACCGTATTATTGAACTCCGATACGCACAGTTTATGTACTTACTCTCGTATCGAGCTAAACCCGTTTAAATAACTGTTATTTTTTCACAAGTATGGTGCAGAAAAACTTTTGGACCAAGATCAGAGGAGCCTGTTGCATAGTACTCGCATGCATCACAAAACTGGTAAAACTTGTGTTGAAGTACATCGTCGGTACTTATTCAAATGTCGAAAATCCGTCTGGTAAGTCTGATCAGTTTCAAGATGATCGAATCCACATGAGAACGATCTCTTTTTAATTCCTTTTAATTTTTAAATAATAAGACTTACTTCATTTACCTAACCTATAACCGTATAATATCCCATTGTAAAAACGTTGTAAAATAGAATCTACCTACTACTGTGATGCAGTGTAGACTGTGCAGTAACTGACTTAAGAATGAGTTTTAAACTTTCGCATAAAAATAAGTATATTTTTCGATAATTTAGTTAGGTACTTATTTAAAAATATTATAAGTTACATACTTTTAGATTGGTTTATATGGGTTTGTAAATAATTGTAGTAATTATTGTATTTACATTATTTTGTAATAATTATGAAAAAAAGTTAGTGCGTAGCTATTGCTATTTACTATATAATATACAGTTTATTAAATAAATTTATACCGAATATTTTCTTACATTGCTGTTAATGTATAGTAAGTGGTTAAAAATAATATAATGTTTTTTTTTTAGAACTTTATAGATACTATCAAAAAAGATTTCCTTGTTTATTGTTTGTTCACTAACATTTTTTCGATGATTCTTGACATTGAAAACATTCCAATATTGTAGACAATTCCAATAACATTGCTTATAAATATTAATGTACCTAAGTCGTGTACAAAGCCAAGAAATAATTTAAACTGTTCTTTTGAAGTTATAATAAGTCATAAGTCATTTTAATACTTGGTAAAACACAATTTATCACTAATTGTAATACCTATAAAGTAAAATTTTTAATTTTTTGAAAATATTAATCATAATTTGGTTACAGTAAGGCATATTATTATTTGTCATTTAATAAACTCTATAAGGGGTTAGGTATGAATAAAAATCATCAACTTCATCAGAAAATTATTCATATTAAAATACAAAGTGGTTTTTCATTTAAATTTAATTGAATTGGGTCAACGAGATAACCTATTAAAATTAAATTATTTATCATATAACATAACAAAGGTATAATAAATGTTAAAAGAATAATATTATTATAATTCCTAAAAAATAACGTTTATAATTATTATTCTACAATTAAATTTTTTTTGCAGTGATTTATAACAAAGTTTCCAAACAAATATTATTGTACATGCAAATATTATTGTCCAAGCTTATTTAGCATTTTAAATATGTATACCTATAGGTATATATATATATGGTATAGGCATACACAGGTTCTATTGGTTCTTTAATCCTTCAGGCATTTTTCTGATCGAAGAAAACGAGCACAGAACCCACATCTATATATAAGGATAGCTATATATAATATTTATATTATTACTAGCATACTCTTAATATTCATAGTAGATTAAATTAACTTCTCTCAAAAACATCACATAAATCAAAAAATAATAAATTGAATCAGAATTGTTGACAAACATTATATTTCATAATATTAATAATATAATATTTATCCATTTTAAAAATTAAAAATTAAAATGTAAAATTAATTAATAAAAATTATAAAATTATAAAAAGGTGTATATATACACTGTATACTACAAATTGCATGCAATTATGTGTTTAATTGATTAATTGATTTTTTATTTTTTACTTAATAAATAATAATTAACACAAATCGGCATTTACAATTTAATATACATAGATTAATAACAGTTAATAATTTATGATAAAAATAACAAGATAAAGACAATAATAATAGTAAGGTATATAAATAAAAAAAGAATAGTTAACTTTTGTTAACTTCAATAGTCCTAGGTGCGACATTATGGGTTGTTGTTATAGCAATTGACATCATTTTAATTATTAGTGGTGCATTTTTAATTAAATAAGTTCGGCAAGCTGGTAAGTAAAAAATGTCTTGGAGTCTGGTATTACGGATGGTATTAGGGACACGGATGCTGAGTCGTTCTAATAGGTTAGGGGCATCACTTGTTACATTGATTAATAGATTAATAAATCGACAGCTAGAAATGTCACGATGCTCGGATAACGATCTAAACTTGAGTAATTCACTAATAGGCGTGTAATCATGAGGTTGATTTGCAATTAAGATGAAAGCCAGCAAAGCTTAGGAAACGATATTGGAGTCTTGTGCTGTAGTCCTAAAAAAAGCAGAGGGTATACTATGGTCTATAAGTTATAATATTAAACATTATTACTATAATTAGGTATCATATCTTAAAGTAGCACAAGCATTTTTTTTTATTTAAGTCCAACGGAATACTTTGGTAGAGGGTAAATAACACAACACACATACATTTGTACAAATTAAAATTAAAATTTTTTTCCCTAAAATATTTAATAATTATTGAAAAATATTCCATAAATGTTGTCTGGATTCCGATTTTGTTAAATTATTTCTTATACACGGATATCATATACGAATCACTTTCAACGGCAAAATGAAAAATGAACGAATGCTCAATGCATACATACTACACAGTACCTATTGAGTACCTACACAGTTCGCAGAACATACGGCAATGTGCGACGGCTGGACATTTTATTTTTATATTAAATACAGAGATAACAGCACTAATGTTATTTGATAGTTATATAATCTAATCTACAGTATATTTCCGTCAATCGCCGTCAATTGCCCAATATATATATATATATATAATGACTTTTATCTTTATATAAAAGTCATTTTATATTTGGTGATTTCACTACGACAGAGAGTATAATACGACCTTAATCAGAAAGTATACGGAGATTATTAGAAATAACCAAAATAGGTATACCAGCGGATACCGCCGTATACCCTCCACTACAGCACCCTATCAAGACACCGTATATTACTTATGGTATACGGGGGGACCGGAGACCAAACTATAGCACCGTATTCTAAAATTGACCTAATTGGTAGTATATACATTTTACTTCGGATAAACAAAATTATATTAATAAAATATAGATTACATTTGAAATCACCTAATGTTTAATATTGTAAAAGTGTAAACAATAAACCTTAACTGTTACCTAATTTAATAATAAATCAAACATCACTATTGGAAAATAATTTGTTGGTTGTTATGATTTAACAATCCATAACTAATGGCTACAAAACCAATGTGGTCATGTGGAGCTAAGTAGGTGGTATATACAATGCATATGTTTATAATTTATGTGCCTATAGTTAATAATACTATAAAAAGTGTATCATAATTTCGAAACTAATTTAATAAATCTCGTATTGTAATATATTAGATTCTGAGTGGAACGATGAATGTATTGATTTTACAATGATGTGTGTTTTTATTTTATTTTTTTTTTTTGTGTTTGTCATCACGTTTTAGGACAGTAAAAGTGCTTGGATTTTCTTCAACAGTAGCTTTTCTGATAGGAAAGTGAATATATTTGTTTTCGAGAAAATCGATAGATACATGCAATTCTGACTAAATGTTTATATTAGCATTTTCTATACACGATAACATTTTCAAAATGTTTTGATTTATTTTGAACTGTTTAGGCACATTTTCATTTTCCATTTTTTTTTTTAGTTTTTTTTCTATAAATATCAATTACATTTATTTGTTGGTTAAAAAAGCTTGAAAATTTAATACAAGGCTCCTACTATATTTTTACAATGACATTTGAAAAATATTAAAAATCCTTAGTCACATTTTTTTTTTATAAGCATTTAAAGTTCAAAAATTGACAAAATATGGAAAAATTACGAAAATTAACAAATTATTTTGAGTTAAGAATTCGTAAAAATTTTTCTTTTTAAATCTAAGATTTTAAAATGTAATACAAGATTCCTTATAAGATTATCTACCTTTATCAAAAAAAAAAAATGTCAAGAAAGTCAAATTCAATTTTTATGAGCGTTTGAAATTCAAATTTTTACAACATTGGATATTCACTCGATTTCTCATGTAGCGATTTCCTTATTTTGTTGTAATTCAAAAACGAATAACTGTAGATACATGACAATTTCACTGAATATTTATATTAGCATTTCGTATACACCATACAATTTTGAAAATATTTTGACTCTTTTTGAGCTGTTTACGGACATTTTCAGTTTCCAATTTTTTTAGTTTTTTTTTCTATAAATATCAATAAAGTTTTATCTGTTGGGCCAAAAAGTGTAAAAATTTAATACAAGGCTCCTGATATATTGTTACAATATCAGTTGAAAAATATTAAAAATACATAGGCACGATTTTTTTTTATAAGCATTTAAATTTGGAATTTTGACAAAATTTATCAAAATCTCGAAAATTATCAATCGTTGGAATTAAAAAATTATAAAATGTTCAGTTTTTATAACTAAGAGTTGAAAATTTAAAACAAAGATTCTCTTAAATAATTCATACTGTAACCAAAAAATCTAAAAAATATATAAACACACTTATTTTTTACAGACATTTTAATTTCAAATTTAGACAAAATTTCATATTTAAACCAAGAATTACGATTTTAGTTATTTTGTATTGTGATTGAATAATACTATTCGTGGGTACTTGAAACTTCTAAAGTGTACTATTATATATCTATGATAGTATCACGGTTTTTGTTGATGTATAACGCGTTATAAGTATCTAATGGATATTGTGATATGATTAATTTTGGAATTTATTATAGGTACCTACTCGTATTATAGGTCAATTTTTTTTTTAATACCATAGAAATGTATATAATATGTGTTAAACCTATACTGACTACCGTCTCCACTCAGAATCGTTTTTCTTATACAATGATATTATATCATTGAATTCAAATTTAATACCATCCATTATACAGTGACCCACTTGTAACCTACTGTACAGCAGAGCGACACCCACTTGCCCACCTTTTTATTTATATTTTTGTGTCTGTCATCACGTTTTGGGACAGTAAAAGTGCTTCGATTTTCTTCAATAGTACCTTTTCTGATAGGAAAGTGAATCTAGTTGGTACTTTGGGGGGTCAAAAGTAAACATTTTCCAGTAGTTTTCACAAGCGCCGGGAAAAACAACATAAAAATTAAGGAAAAACGGGAATTTTTACGCAAAATCGATTTTCCAAAAAATCGAATTTGGTTATTGGTGTAACTTTAAAACAAATGACCGTAGATACATGAAATTTTCACTGGTTGTTTATATTTGCATTTTCTATACACGATAACATTTTCAAAATATTTTGATTTATTTTGAACTGTTTAGGGACATTTTCATTTTTCATTTTTTTTTAGTTTTTTTTCTATAAATATCAATTACATTTATTTGTTGGTTAAAAAAGCTTGAAAATTTAATACAAGGCTCCTACTATATTTTTACAATGACATTTGAAAAATATTAAAAATCCTTAGTCACATTTTTTTTTTATAAGCATTTAAAGTTCAAAAATTGACAAAATATGGAAAAATTACGAAAATTAACAAATTATTTTGAGTTAAGAATTCGTAAAAATTTTTCTTTTTAAATCTAAGGTTTTAAAATGTAATACAAGATTCCTTATAAGATTATCTACCTTTATCAAAAAAAAAAAATGTCAAGAAAGTCAAATTCAATTTTTATGAGCGTTTGAAATTCAAATTTTTACAACATTGGATATTCACTCGATTTCTCATGTAGCGATTTCCTTATTTTGTTGTAATTCAAAAACGAATAACTGTAGATACATGACAATTTCACTGAATATTTATATTAGCATTTCGTATACACCATACAATTTTGAAAATATTTTGACTCTTTTTGAGCTGTTTACGGACATTTTCAGTTTCCAATTTTTTTAGTTTTTTTTTCTATAAATATCAATAAAGTTTTATCTATTGGGCCAAAAAGCGTAAAAATTTAATACAAGGCTCCTGATATATTGTTACAATATCAGTTGAAAAGTATTAAAAATACATAGGCACAATTTTTTTTTATAAGCATTTAAAGATTGAATTTTGATAAAATGTATCAAATTTAAAATTGAATAATTATTTTGTAGTTAAAAATGTATCAAATGTTCGACTTCTATATCTAAGGATTGAAAATTTAAAAGAAGATTCCACTTAAGTAGATAATTCTGTTACCAAAAATTCTAAAAAATACATAAGTACAGTTTATTTTATAGTCATTTTAAGTTCAACTTTGGACAAAATTACATAAAAAAAACCTAGAATAACCATTTTAGTTATTTTGTTGTGATTGTGTAATATTATTCGTGAATACTTGAAACTTTTAAAATGCACTATTATATATCTATGGAGTATGGACTATGATAGTATCAGGGTTTTTTGTTGACGTATAACGCATTATAAGTACCTAATGGATATTGTGATATGATTAATTTGGAATTTATTATAGGTACCTATTTTAGGTAATTTTTTTTTAATACGATAGCTATCTAGATTACTTTATATTATGTCTTATACCTAGACTGACATACCGTCAACACAGTTATTTTTTACAGACATTTTAAGTTCAAATTTGGGACGAAATTACATATTAAAAACCTAGCATAGGTACCTATTTTCGTTATTTGTTGTGAGTGTATAATACTATTCGTGGGTACTTGAAACTTCTAAAGTACACTATATTATATATCTATGATAGTATCAGGGTTTGTTATTGATGTATAACGTGTTATAAGTACCTAATGGTCCTAATGGATAATGTGATATGATTAATTTGGAATTTATTATAGGTCAATTTTTTTTTTCATACCATACCGTCTTCGCTCAGAATCGTTTTTCTTATACAATGATATTGTATCATTGAATTCAAATTTAATAGCATCCATTATACAGTGACCCACTTGTAACCTACTGTACAGTAGAGCGACATCCACTTACCCACCTTTTTTTATATAAATATATAGTCAAATTATCACATTATCTGTAAAAGTCCTACATATTATATTGTCGTAGTAAATATTGTTCAAATACCTACCATTTTGAAACATTTGGTGTGTAGGGAGACCGGAACTAGTTGCCACAATTTTTACCAAGTATTTTTGTCTCAGGTTTAAATCAAATGATAAACCACATAAAAATCAAACTTTTAGTTATCAATGATAAATTCGTGTCAAATTTGGAATTACTCGATACAAAAAAATTAAATCTATAAATAAAATACACCAAGTTAATTAAATAAAATGTAACAAATATAAACATATATTATTTAGTTTGAACCTTTTAAACACATGGCGTGATAATAACCAGAATCTCGTAGTTTGTGACAACAAATCCCAATCTACTACCTATTTGATAACAAATCTACTTTAAGAGTTATATTATTTTTAATACAAACGAAAATTACACCTCAAAATATACACTAGTTAATTATCAAGTTAAAAATTACAGTGTTAGTCGTTAGGTACCTATCGACATAGTATATAAATGACAAATATTAAACTTAATTACGGTAAAAAATTACTCACAGACTTAAAATTTACTTTTTTCGTCTTAAAATAATTCGTCATACGACCACAGTCAGCCCTTAGCCGAGATAAAAATGATTATTTTCATTGTGATAATGTACAGTACAATTTATTGCACATAATATATAACAAACATAAAAAATATACCGTCTAGTTTCAGAGTTATTAACATTGTGACAACTAGACGTCTAGATCTCCTCTAGTCCCCTATGTACAGAATTAGGAATTACTACATTAGTTTACAACGATAACAATGAGATTCATACTATAGACTTATAGTTCATATTATGGTTATATGTGTTAAATTTAATTGAGACGTGACTATTGTGTTTTAAAATCAGACGTATAGCTAGGTAATTAACCTAGGTAATTACAATATGGCCAGTTTAATATGAATATAATAGACGTTCTGGTTTTTGGATCAAGCAAGATTTGTTTATACAGGGTCAAGGCTTCACTGCTCGAGTCATTGATAAAAATAATGATTTTTTTCAGATGCTCAGCAAAAAATATACAAAACAATTGCGGATATTCCAGGACCAAGGTCGTTGCCTGTATTTGGAACCAGGTGGATCTATTGGAAATTTTGTTTATATAAACTGAATGCCGTTCACTTAGCATACGAAGGTACATTTTAACAATAAAGCATAATATAGTCAATATCTAGTCATATTACCTATTTTTGATTAAATTTGGGGCCCATGCACAGTTAGGCATCCCGAACGCCATTGAAGTGAAAACTTTATTACCTGAATAATATAATAATTAATATAATAATATGTACATTGAGTAAAGCAACACTAATTTACCATGTATAATATTCATGCGATGATAAAATATAAGTTTTTAGCAAATTCAATTACAATTTATTGATGTGCAAATGTGCAATATCAATTATCTTACTATCTTAGCATCTATTTCCAAGTTATTATCTTTAATATTATCTATATATTATCTATACAGTACACACTCGGTTAAATATTTATTTTAATAATCGAAATGATTTCATAAAATAAACACAAATTTACAGGATAATCAAAAAAAGTTAAGTTTGAATTAGTAACTGTAATACGTATGTTTTCCAACTTATTGAACAAAACGAATTTAATTCACGTTACTATAATTGTTTTGTATAAGTTTTATTAAAGTGAAACTTTTGTTTAACTTTTATTGTTTTGTGTTAGGTATAATTCTTTAAATAATTTTAAATTTAGCTCTTAATGCTATTAAATTAACAATTGTTATGATTTCGATAAAGCAGCCCTATTTAGAATTTCTTTTTTAATCTAATGAATAAAAAATAAAAAATAAAATTTTTTTATAGTGTCTAAATTTAATTTGCAAAACAATACTAAAATAAATGTATTACAAACTATAGTTTTATTTTTTATTTTAGTTACTAAGACTTCAAATTATAATATTATGAAAGTCATATATCATAATATATATATATTAGTAGATATACCTAGTGATGTACATTTTCATGAACATTTTCAAAAACATGAACATTTTGAAAATTGTATAATTTATCATATTAATTTCTTATCAAATAAATCTTTTGATATTATATAGTTATAGTTATAACTTATAACTTGTAATTATATTATTATTCATATATTCATAGTTATATTTTAAACTATGAACTTTTATAACCATTTATACCCATTAATGTGCATTTTTTTTCTTTTATTAAAAATGTATTTTTACTTCAGTGTAAATGTTGAGTGTATAATCGTTTTGCTACAAATTACATTTATTGATTTATTTTTGTAATTTATTGGTTGAGTCACTTCCACAATTTTAACCAAATTACAATTTTTTCTATTATAAGTATTTGGTTTGACTTTAACATTGTACTTGTTACAATGTAAATAAAAATGAAACAGAAATTTTATTAAGTATTTGAATATATTTAAATTTGAAAATAATAAAATACAGAAACAATTTTAATTCTAAAAGTCTTTTGTTAGTTAGTACTTGGTAGTAAGTGGTATAACAATTTGTTACTATGTAAGTACAAATTAAACGCTTATATTATAATTAACAAATTAATATATCAAACTTAAAAAATATATATAGATCACAAAGTATGTAATTATATTAAATATAACATTATTTTGTTAGTTGGTACTTGGTAGTAAGTGGTAACAACTAATTACTTTGTAAATACAAATTAAAAAAATCAAAAATCAAAAATTAATTATGTTAAACAAATACATTAAATTAAATTTCAAAATTTTCAAAGAAAGTTGAAAATTTTCAAGCTTACATCACTAGATATACCGATATTATTTTCAAAGCGTATTTACTTAAATCAATTAACATACATTAAACACTGTAGTAAACCTACTACCTAGGCATAAATAAGAACCCAATTGACGTACAGATTCATCATCATTCATTACTTAAAAATTAAAAATTATGATTTTAGAACTTCTTAACTTTTGATGTGTAAATATTGGCAAAGGCGTAAAGGGCCTTACCCCAAAAAAACTCCTGAGACTCAAAAATATTTCCTAACTTAACCTCGTAAGTATAATAAATTATGTTAAAACGTATGAAGCCCCCCTGGTCTATATTTATGCCTATGCATATTGGGATAGATAATTTCGTTGCATTGATCGTACTAAATCAATAATCAGATTTTTAATAATTTCACAGACATGTTTAACCGGTATGGCGATATTATTCGCGAAGAAGCACTGTGGAACATACCAGTTATAAGTGTCAAAAACAAAGATTTCATCGAAAAGGTACTTAGACAAAGTGGAAAGTACCCTATCCGACCTCCAAATGAAGTAACAGCTAACTACAGAAAATCCCGTCCGGATCGCTACACAAATACAGGACTTGTTAACGAGTGCGTACTTGTGTATAAATATTATACATATTGAAAATATGTAATTCAATGTACTTAATTTTATTTCCACGAGAACGCCGGTTTGAAGTTAAAATGTAGGATTATAAAATGTGCTTGAAATTGTTTTGTATACATAGAAAATTCGACGACATGATGCGATATGATATGAATGTATGATAATTTAATAGGTATTACAGAATATAAATATAAATTGAATCCCGATTATTTTCGTTTCGAGAAATGTAAATTCATCAAAGTTATATATTATTTTAGTTACCTATACCTATTTGATATTTTCAACATAATAATATAATCTGCAGTACCTACCTGTATAACTATTATACTAATTACTATAATCACAAGTATGTGTACGTGTTGCAGACAAGGTGAAGTTTGGGCGATGCTAAGAAATAAATTGACTCCAGAACTTACAAGTCCTAGGACAATTCGACGTTTTTCGCCAGAAGTTAACCAGCTCGCAGACGATTTTAATAATCTTATTTCCCTAGCGAGAGATGGCAATAACGTGGTCAAAGGATTCGAAGCATATTGTAACAGAATGGGATTGGAAAGTATGTGTGATCGGACCGTGCAGGTGGCAATCGTAATTCAATTAACAAATGTAAAAATTGCGATTTTCATTGCGGCTTTTTGTCCACCGTAGGTTCGTGTACGTTAATTTTGGGCAGGAGGTTCGGATTTTTGGACGGAGAGGTTAGCGAGACGGCTACGCGACTGGCAGACTCCGTGACCAGTCAGTTCAGAGCGTCACAGGAAGCATTTTATGGGCTTCCACTCTGGAAGTTAATACCAACCAAGGCTTACAAGGATTTCGTAGCAAGCGAGGACGCCCTATACGAGTAAGTGCAATTTGTAGAAAAGTCAAACGTTTATACGATCCGAATAAAAATTCCGAATGGGAATTATTTTGTATTTTTATAGCATCGTGTCCGAAATCGTTGATTCAGCGTTGATCGACGAGCAACAGTCTTGCACAGATGTACGCAGCGTATTCGTGTCTATACTACAGTCGTCAGGGTTGGACAACAGAGACAAGAAAGCCGCCATAATCGATTACATAGCTGCCGGAATAAAAACAGTAATATACCTAATACCTATTATCTAATATCTCATACTGGGTACTTAGTATAATTATTTACAACCGTCTCTTTCACATTCACGACAATGTCATAATAAACGATAATGATAATAATATAGTTTATTTCGAGTGTCGAGTGCTGCAGTTGTAGCTAAGTGCATACATTAATATAATAACAATTAATGCGTAGTACTAGAATTCTAATAAATGGCGAAACAAAAAACCATAAGTACATTATAGTGTTATATATACCACGGTGTATCACAAATTGTAACGGTAACATAACATAACACTTTGTGAATTTCTGTTTTTATTATTATTTTAATACGTTTTGACATATTTTATTGATTATAATATTAAATAACACATAATATTAATTCCCTATTCTGGTATCATTGGATATCGATATTCATTTGATCGTGACTCATCAATTTGCAATAACTTTGTTTTTATAAACACTTAGTTTGAGACGACATTTTTGGGCATCTATGTTTTCTTAATGTATAATAATTGCGATCTTTTAGTGTACAGCCATTTATTTCCCTTATCCACCACACAAGATTTTAACTCTAACATTTAACCTTTAAATGTTGGTAACCAAAAAAGACAATTAATGTTAAATACTTAAATGTTTATGCAATTATATACATATTAATAGTAATACCATTTTTACAAATAGGTGTGTTGGAGAAGGCTCAGATAAAATGTATTTAACATTTTGTTTTTGTGGCACTACTTTTCTGATAGGTGATATAAACGCAGTCGATAAGAATTTTTGATTTTTCCGTATAAAATATGTTAAAAAATTCCAGGACATACCTATAGGAAAATCAATGTAATGTGCGAACATTTTGAAAAATATTTATAGCAATCATATTTCATAACTTTAGTATTTTTCACATAATATGTATGTGAGGTAATAATGTATTTTCGTGAGTATACGTAGCATAGTTTAAACTAGTGTCCTTTGAATATTTTGTCTACATTTTTTTGTCAAGTTTCCTGTCGTGTCTTGCAACAAATTTAAGAAGACAAGTGCAGAGTGCTGCTTGGTGCATTTACATTTACACCACAATACACTGACATTGATATCTATACCTGCATGAGAATTGATAAATATAAATATAAAAATGCAATAATGTTTTGTACACACATTTTTAGTTGGGAAACACGCTGGTGTTTTTATTGTACTTGGTCGCCAAACATCCGGAAGTACAGGAAAAAATATACAACGAGGTATCACGGTTGGCTCCGGCGGGTACACCTATTACCGCTGAACATTTACACAAGGCCACATATTTGAACGCGTGTATAACCGAAGCCCACAGGTAATGGTCATGGAATTAGCCCCCCCCCCCCCCCTACTTTGGCCGATTCACTTCAAACCACCGCCAAAATTACAATTTTGATTTCCAAATTCTAAAAACCAATTTGCAATTGATTTGCAAAATATTGACGTTGGTTAGAAACAGATCGGACAAAGTGGAGGGGCTGCATGAAGTTAGGCCCCCAAATCTATTTTTAAATTTGTGACTTGTGATTTTGCACTTGATTTGCAAATTCTAAAAACCAATTTGCAATTATTTGCTAAATATTGGAGGTGGTTTGAAGTGAATCGGCCAAAGGGGGGGGGGGCTAACTTCATGACCATCCATAGATAACCTCGTTAATATTATGATAAAAACAATTAGTTATTGATTCGTATCACGTTTTCCAGGCTTAAGCCCACTGCTCCGTGTATTGCAAGAGTGTTGGAGTCGGAAATAGAATACGATAATTACCGATTGCCGCCAGGGGTAATATTTTGGTGACGTGTTTTTTTTTTAAATATTTATTATTTTACGAGCATATGAATATTTTTTTATTTAGAGCGTCGTGTTGCTGCACACGGGGTTGGCGTGTCTGGAAGAAAACAACTTCAAAGACGCAACCTCGTATAGACCGGAAAGGTGGCTGGACGAGTTGACGAAAAAATCTCCATTTTTGGTCGCACCGTTCGGTTGTGGCAAACGAATGTGTCCGGGGAAGCGATTCGTTGATCTAGAACTCCAAGTTGTCTTAGCAAAGGTCAGCAAAATATTACATTTACGACATGCTGAAAATAACAACTAATAAATTGTAACTTTGTTTTAAAGATGGTCAAGCAATTTCAAATCGACTTTGAGGGACAACTGAAAACTGAATTTGAATTTCTTTTGACACCCGTTGACTCAAATTTCGTTCTACGAGATAGAATTGTTTAATGTTATTAAATTAAAACCACTTTAATTTAATACTGTAAATAAGTATATTAAATAATAACTAATATTATATCATTAAATTATTTATTTTATCGTGCCACGACAAAGTTAGATTTTATTTTAAATTATGATGTAGTATATACGATATACTAATATATACATATTATATTAAATAGTATGTATATAATTATACCTACATGATAATATAACCTGTACATTTATGCGCACGTGTGTGTTTCATAATAAATTATTATAGCAAAAATACATACCTATTCATATAATATTGTAGTTCATTAATTCGTTTTCATTTCCACCTTCAAATGCAGCCAAGTACCTAATATTTCTTTTTGTAATAATCTTGTAGGTATTAGTTATATCTACTTGTTATTATACTTAAAGCCCATTGATAATGTACACATGTTTCATCGCTTAATTTCAAATTTGTATTCTTTGCCCAAATCATATCGTTATCATTTATAAATATAATTAATAATTATATATCAACAATATTTAATGCTTGGTTAAATTATTAAATCGTCATAAAACGAATTTAATTTATTAAAAAATAATACTTTATGCTAATACTTTCTATTTGCTAAATAATTATTGTTTATAAAATACAATAATAAAACAATAATAGTTATTGTAACAAAGAACTATAGAAAGTATGTACCTACTATCTTTCATTGAACAAAATGTTATCCATTGAATTATAATCGAATCTTCACATTCCTTAATTATTCTTAATATAATAATTAATAATTATAATAACGTTTATTTATGAAAAACACAATTTAATGAAATGTTTATATTTCTGTAATGTATTATATATTTATATAATACGAGACCGTTTCGGCACACGTAGCAAACCGAAGTTGTTGTACATTTTGTAAAGTAAACAAAATAATAGTTACACCTTTGTGGAGAAACTCCGTGATGATATACGAATGTAAGATAAGCCACCCACTAGGATATATTATTATACATAATATTATTGGTATATAATTAATCATAAATCCATAATATGATATCAATTTATATGAAAGTCTTAAAAGCAATTGATTTTTAAATACGAATTATGCTGAATTCACATCAGACATAAATTGTCTTACTGCACTCTACATCATGGATCCTTTGTCTACATAAATCTAGCACCCTCATAAACTTAACTGTAAGTGTATAAGCGATTGTACAGATATTTAATGTGGTTTTTTGATAATGACATATTTAATAGTGTTATGATGATATTGTATAATGAAGCTGTGTTGGCGCAAATATGTTGATATCATTACAGTAGTAAGATGTTAAGTCCGGTGTTAATACTTAATAGACTAACTAATATTTTTACAATGAAGGATATTCCTAACAAGCTAGAGACGGGGTTTCCAAGTGTTGTAAACCATCCACACATTTTGTGTAATTTGTTTTCTACAGTTTGCCCATTGGTGTTTTCGTCAATATGAGGCTTTGTAGTCTTAGGCCTTGATCTTTCTAAAAGATGTTTTTGTAATGCATTCATTATTTTATGACAATATATTCTGGCTACCATGAGATTTTTTGGGCTTTTATAGATTCAGGTCCATGTTGTTGACGGCTTTAGAATTTTTTTTCTCTCTGAGTGTTGGTGCTATCCCAAACCATTCGCCCACTAGTGGAAAAGCTGAAAAATATATTTTTTAATTTTTTTAATGCGAAAACTATATTTTCGCTTTCTACCTTGTATGTTTGTATTTCATGGCTTGATGGGTTTAATTGTTTGGCAATGATTCTTATATCTGTGTAAATCATATCTTATCCTGTTTATATTGCTGTTTTGTTTTGTTTTTTTGAAATTTTATGTCTTTGCTTTGGCACATAGAATCGAAAAACGTTACATTACAAAAAACCGTTACGTTATTTATAATTTTTTTATAAATGGTTGCCATGGGTTTTAAACTATTATAATAATAATTATTGGTTTCCGTGAAATCAGTGTATTAGAAATCGAAATTTAAAAAAAAAAAAATCAAAATAATTTTTCTCATCCGAGATTCAAACTCGATATACTCGCTTATCACACGATATAGTTGGACGATACTGCATTAATATTATAATATTATAATATTACCTAGGTATGTGCTACATATGATAGCAAGGACAACAAAGACATGAAATGTGGTACTCCATTGCAGACTCGTATGCAATATGATTTTATATAATGAATTTGAACAAAAAAAAAAAAAAATTCAGAAAAAATCATAATATGTTATAAATTTTAATTTTAATATTATAATAGTGTATATATATATTTGGTAGCTAGTTCAACAAATATTTCTCAGAATACGATTATTGTTTTCGCCTCGTCAACAATAAACGTGTTTAATCATAATCTTATTATTTACTTAAATAATAATACAAACAACAAACTCACGGTAGTATATTTTAGATTGATTAAAGATCTTTACTTTTTTTTTTTTTAGTAAGATATCTATATCGCTTTGTAATGTATCCCATTGGTTTTCTACTTCAATCAGATATTATTTATACTTTCATGCAATGTTTCTATATTGTTGTTATATACATTATTTGTGTTATTTTTTATTCCAGTCATGTAAAGTAATCCTTGTTACTATAATTCTACCCGTACGTTATTTTCTAACATGTTTTCTTTTTTGAGGATGGACTTCTCTTTTAAGTTATTATTTAAATATTTTTTCACTTAAATTAAGGTCTTGTTTTTTGTTGATTAACATGTTATTATCTACTTGGATTGCAATGTGTGTCCTTCGTCATCGTCTTCTACTTCTAATAGGAGAATACTACTGATTAAATGTAATTCAATGGAATCCATATTCTATTGTGATAAGTACATTATTGATATAAGTTTTTTGTATACGAAGGGGAGGTGCAGAGAGGGAAAAGAGAAGTTCATTTGTTTGAATTATGTATATGGATTAGTAATTTCGACATTCTTTATCCTATAGACTATAGTTACCATTAATTAAAGAATATATTATTACGATTGGTTGGGATCGTGAGTATAGATTTATAAATTATAAACGTAGGTTATGCTAATTTTTGGTACACCTGAGTCTAATATTGTCTTATCAACTTTTTTTTATTGGTAATTCTGTTTTTGAAGTTGTGTGAAGAAATATTAATATAATTTCTTACCTGGTTTTCATTGTTGGTTCGAAGACAATGGAGACGAGAATTTGGTGGTGTTGATGTTTGATATTATAATGTAAGCACAATATAGGTAAAAAATTAAAAATTAGAATGATGTATGTTGATTTTTTATTTAGAATTCTTTAAATGGGTTAGTATAATATAAGCTATATGATAATAATTTTGTTTTAGCTATGGTTATTTTTTTGTTATTTATTAGTATGTAATTGTTAATATAAAAAATCTTATCGGTTAAAGTTATCCTTTAAATATTTGTCAAGAATTGGTTATTTTTTGTAAGAACTTTGATTTATTTAATTTTGTAATTGATTTTTGTTTCATTGTTCTCATTATTCTCTGGCGGTGATTGTATTCTTTGATTAACGTCCTGATATTAGCTACTGTTTAATATATTTTTGTTTTTATGAATTAAACAATTATACATATAATTATATTAGATTATGAGAAGTAATGTACGATATTTAATGATTGTAAAAAAAACAAATAAATAAGGACAAATTGGAATAATTGGATTCTGAGTTATCAATAATTTTATTATTTTTCTGTTTATTGGTATTATATTACGTTATATTATTAATGTACAAACATTTTTCAACATTTAATTATTGTTTAAACCTAAATGTAGGTATTAATAAGTTACGGGTTTTCTTTACTTTTTTCCTGTAAGGTCACACAATAAATCATGAGTAGAGTCATCTCAGTCATTTACAGACTGTTTATAATAATCTTTTCCCAATCGTTGAGGTTCTAAAAATACGTGTAATACGATTAAAAAATAATTATAATATTATATTATTGGGTAAACTAAAAGGATAACTCATCGGTCGGTAGTAATAGTGAAAGAGATATCAACAAATCATCTTTGGTATACACGTGTTTTTTCAATTCATTATAAAATGCTGAGTCTTTAACAATTATTTTGAACGTAAATAAATCTAAAGAACATGTACCGCGGTCGTTTTTTAAATTTTCCAACATTATGTAACAATGAGTGGATAATTTACAAAACGAACACGGTGCTGAATTGGACATTTTTAACATACAAATAATACACTGGGCATGATTACAACCTAAATTATAACATATGTCGCTAGCATTTCTCAATTCCGTGCATATCTGACAAATAATTTGCAACATGCCAAAATCGCGTAATATGTTTTCCGAAATCGTCTGTCTTGCATTGTGACAGCGCTTGAACAGTGCTGTGATATTGTTAGTGAGACAGATTTTAAAACGATCGTCGCCAGCATCATCGTCGATGAAATGTCTTTCAAATCCGTTCTCGTCGTAATATTCGGAAGGGTAATAATTAACGATAACCGGACCGGTCTCGGGAGCGTCCGAAATCGTTGGCTCATCCAACTGTGTGAAAAATCATAAAACACGAATAAAATTATTTTAACCGTGTTGGCATATTATTTAAAAATGTATTATATTACAGCTGGGATATTCGAATCAGCCACGACAATAGATTCTTCGACGGTGACCGTATTCGTTGCTCTAGAACTAGAAGAACTCGCTGGATCGTCGAGATTTAAGACTTGTTGTTGCTGTACATAATTGGTGACATATGTCGATGGTATACTCGGCAGGTCTATATTTTGATTCTTCAGTCGTAAGTCAGGCATCAAAACATCAAACACCCACTTGGCAAATTTCAAACCTTTAGCTTTATCGATCGCTTTGTACGCCTGTATATATATTTTTGGTTCGGAAAAATATCGTTTTCCGTGCAGTATTTTTGTAAATGGACTTATACGCGACTCCGTTATTGCAACTGAAGAACAAATGGTGTTAATATTTTCTTCGAGAATCAAATATTCACGATGACTGCCTAAAAAAAAATAAATATTTTGTTAAGTTTAATTAAAATAATATATTAAACAATAAAATTGATGAAATGTATAACAATGTTTGTAAGCATCAAATCCTAACAACAATAGGTTTACATAGATTATCAAATTAAATCAAAATCATTTATTAACAATAAAATATGTACAAATTTTACCTTTTTTGAAAACATAAGTAGTTATTGGAAAAACTTCATTTTTGTATTTAAAAGTGTAAGATGGAGACATAGTTATTGCGTATTGTTGTCGTAGCAGTTTTGTTATGATAATATATCGAATTGACTGACTGCAAAACTGTTGATTAATAAAAGCATGGTTATAGATATCATATTATTTATTTATAATATTTATTTAAGCCTGGTTAATATATAAACATTAAACATTTCACAAAATTTAATTTAGCTGAAAACATGTTTTACCTATATTTTACTTCTTCGACTATCAAACCATTAGAAATGGCTGGCTTTAAATTACGATAGTGTACTATTTACTTTTTGCTCCGGTTTTATAATAGAATAATAATTAATTATATTTAATTAATCTTTATTATAATATTTAAAGTAGAAGTATTACAATAAATTACAATACGATATATCAGGGCTTGCAAACGTTATAATAAAGTTATGATTATAACGTTATTTTTGACAAATAACGATTGAAATTTGTAAACGTAATTATAACGGAAAGCAAAAATAAATGAATACAGCAAAACAAAGCATAATGAATAACAATATATATAACATATCATTAAACAAAAAATATCGTAAAACGTAATTTATAGAATATCACTAAACGAAAAACAACTCAAAACAAAATTATTTAAAAATTTAAAAATATTTATTTAAAAGTAAGGTATATTGGTTTCGTAGAAATTTATTTTATTTCATGCTATTTATTTTTGTCTTAGAAAAAAAATCTTAAAAACTTTACATATTTACTTTAAACTTTTTAAAATGTTTACTATTAACATAACTTAACTCAATTAACAATTATCATTAAATTTCCCATTCATGGTTTTAAGAGCATATTTATTAATTTTACAATTTTTTAGATTATGTTTGATGATAACTGTATAATAATAATGAATATTAATATACATATATGTTTATAATATAATTTGAAAGTTAATAAAAAAACTATTGTGTAAGTAAGTATATTTAATTGTGTTTTTCAAATCCCTAGTTGCATAAGTGCATGCATATTTAGTACTTATTAAGTAGATACATTATTAAGTTCTGAGCCCTATGATATAATTATATAAATAAATAAAAATGTATTAAATATTTAAGTGTAGGTACATAAGTCATAAATTAAAAACTGTTGTTTAAAAAAATGTATTTAAAAAAAAATAAAAGTTTAATATAAAACACTCTACCTACCTATTATTGGCTGCATTCATAAAATATTTCAAATGATTAAAACATATTAATTTACTTACTAGTACATCAAATGATGTTATGGTCATTCTGTAGTATTTATAAAATTCTTCTGGATAACTTCTCAGAGCCATAAAGTTCACCTGAAATTGTCCTTCACTTGGCCTTTTTAAGTTCAATGGATGAACCCAGTACCTGCGTGGTTGTACAGTTTTCTTTTTGGTTTTTCTTTGGCGTCTCTTGTATAATATATACAATAAGGTCGCAGCTTCTATGTCGTCTATTTGATACATATTTGGTACAACAAGATAATTATTGTATACTAAGGACCTACTAATACAGGAATACTGTATCGGATAATATTATGCACTTGGGCCATGAATTGTTGTGTTAGAAATTTGAATACATTTTTGATAATGTAATATATAACAATGGATTTGGCGCGTAATACAGGTGATAATAAAAATAAGATAATAAAAACGCGCCAAATGTGAAAACAGTGTGCGTACGCGTACGCGTTTCGGAAACGCGTATGCGCGCGATTAATCGCCTAGTGTGTAAGCCACTTTAAGAATTGATTATATTATATTCCGTATCCGGGACATCACCTAAGTGGATTACACACTAGGCGATTCGAACGCGCGTTTTGAACGTCTCGATTAATCGCCCAAAATTAAACATGTACGTTTCGACCGAACGAGCTTCTCATTTACGTGTAAGAATAAGCCCATATAAAAGTATATGTTTAATTTTGGGCGATTAATCGCGACGTTCAAAACGCGCCGAGACTCGCGTTTGAATCGCCTAGTGTGTATGCAAATAGCAAATACCTAGTATAATAATAATAATAATAATTATTATTATTATTAATAATGATTAATGATGTCCCGATAATTGCACTGTAGAAGTATAAAGTATAGACTTATTTTGTATTATTTCACTCTGTACTTTGTCTACTATGTAGTCTGTACTCTGTACCAATGCGGTCCCCTTGTGAGTGTTAAAGAACCTACTAGTATAACTTTAGTTAAAAAATCCGTTTTATTTATATTAGCTACATTTTAAAACAAATAACGCAATCATGGGTAGAACAATTTCCAACCCAGTACTGAAAATGCAAAGGTGGGCATTAACTTGTTAAACAGTTAAAGTTAAGTTAAAAAGTTATTTATTTTTAAACTTTTTAACTTAACTAGTTAATTATTTTTGTTTTTAGCTTATTAATTTATTCAGTTAAAATGTCCAAAGTAATAATATAAAATATCTAGGTGTTAGGTACATAGAACACCATTTATACCAATATTAAATATTATTAAAATAATAAATTATAATTTTCTGGTAACGATTTTGTAAAAAATTAAGTAGTAAATTACTTACTGGATTGTTGGAAAATGTTGGGTAAAATAGCGTTTTAATTCTGAATAACGACAAACGCAAAAATTGTGTAACGTTTTAATCCTGAATAACGTAAAACGGAATTTTTTTTTCAAATGCAAGAACTGCAATAATATAAAAACAAAGCATGATGACAAGACTAGTGTAGTAGCGTCTAATAATTAACAATGTGAATTTCACGACATAAGTTAACCTAAAATAATATTATAATTATAACTGATAATACATTAGGTACTGGTCTAGTTGGCCCCGCCAGGAAGGCAATTCCCCCGCCACTCAAGTTTAGTTGACGATCGCCACTTACCTACATATCTTGTATTTTTGATGTTATAAAATGTATAATATACTAATATAGGTACTGCAGAGTGCAGATAAAAAAGGTACGAATATACGTTAGGTATTTGTGTGAAATTCTCTAATTAGATATTTTAAGAATTATATTTGGTAAAATCCGTGTAGTAAAATGAATTATATAAGATAGGTATAACAGCAGGTGCCGTATATAATATTATGAAGTACCTACCTCAGTTATTCAGTTGTCGTCATATGAACAAAAAGAAAATTAATTTCCGACAAATTTATAGTGACGTGCATGATGTTTCATCGGCAATAATTTTTTTGCAAAACCAAAATATTATCCATAAGACTAGAACTTGTGACAGTGGACATGAAATGGTTTTAGATACACAAAGGGATCGTTGGCGATGTCATTTAAGATCATGTCGAGCAGAAAAAGGTCTCAAGACCAATAATTGGATACACAGTACCAAGGTAAAGTTGCCAACTATTGTTCACTTCATTTGTCGGGTTGGTTTTCATTCATCAGTTGGGCTCATGAACTGACATCAGTGGACTTTTGCAAACGTGAATTTGGAATGAGCAAGTCTACTGCAGTAGATTGGAATAATTTTATGAGGGAAGTTTGTGTATGGAAAATTTCTCGAGGTGATTCCAAAATAGGAGGTGTTGGTTGTATTGTCGAGATCGACGAAAGTTTATTTGTTAGACGCAAAAATAATGCTGGTCGAATACTGCCACAGCAATGGGTATTTGGTGGCATATGTTGTGAGACAAATGAGTGTTTCGTCGCATGTGTACCCGATTTGTCAGAAAATACATTATTGCCAATAATTTGCGAATGTATACGAGTTGGATCGACCATTATATCTGATTCCTGGCGAGCCTATAATAATATACAACAAACCGGCCATTATAATATATACATTCCTAGATTCTTATTTGTCAGAATTTATGTGGCAGAGTAAATTAAACGGTCGGGATCCATTTAAAGAAATTTTGAAGGATATAGCAGAATTTATAATTATTTTTTTATTATATTCATAATTTATTATTATTATTTTTTAATTTAAATATTTATTCATATATGAATTATTCTGGACATAGCAGCGTTTTGGCCACCTGCATAGTTTTATTATTACCTATTAGATTCTGAGTGAAACGATGAATGTATTGATTTTACAATGATGTGTGTTTTTTTTTTTTGTGTCTGTCATCACATTTTAGGACAGTAAAATTGCTTGGATTTTCTTCAATACAGTAGCTTTTCTGATAGGAAAGTGAATCTAGTTGGTACTTCGGGGGGGTCAAAAGTGAAAATTTACAGTAGTTTTCAAAAGCGGCTTGAAAAACAAAATTTTTTGCGCGAATTCTGTTTTCAAGAAAATCGATTTTGGTTTTTGGTGTAACTTTAAAACAAATGACCGTAGATAAGTGAAATTTTCTGGTTGCTTATATTTGCATTTTCTATACACGATAACATTTTCAAAATATTTTAATTTATTTTGAACTGTTTAGGGACATTTTCAGTTTTCAATTTTATTAGTTTTTTTTTTATGAATATCAATAAAAATTTATTAGTTGGTTAAAAAAGCTTGAAAATTTAATACAAGGCTCCTACTATATTGTTTCAAAGGCAGATGAAAAATATTAAAAAATCCTTAGTCACAGTTTTTTTTTTATAAGCATTTTAAGTCCAAAAATTGACAAAATATGGAAAAATCACGAAAATTTGAGTTAAGAATTTGTAAAAGTTTTTCTTTTTAAATCTAAGATTTTAAAATGTGATACAAGATTCCTTATAAGATTATCTACATTTATCAAGAAATAAATGTCTATAAGAAAGTCAAATTACATTTTTATGAGCGTTTAAAATTCAAATTTTTACATTGGATATTCACTCGATTTCTCATGTAGCGATTTCTTTATTTTATTGTAATACAAAAACGAACAACTGTAGATACATGAAAATTTAACTAAATGTTTATATTACCATTTCCTATACACCATACAATTTTGAAAATATTTTGACTCTTTTTGAGCTGTTTACGGACATTTTCAGTTTCCAATTTTTTTAGTTTTTTTTTCTATAAATATCAATTAAGTTTTATCTATTGGGCCAAAAAGCGTAAAAATTTAATACAAGGCTCCTGATATATTGTTACAATATCAGTTGAAAAATATTAAAAATACATAGGCACAATTTTTTTTTATAAGCATTTAAAGATCGAATTTTGACAAAATTTATCAAAATCTCGAAAATTATCAATCATTGTAATTAATAAATTATAAAATGTTCAGTTTTGATAGCTAAGGATTGCAAGTTTAAAAAAAAAAGGTTCTCATAAATAGTTCATACTGTAACCAAAAAATCTAAAAAATATATGAACACAGTTATTTTTTACAGACATTTTAAATTCAAATTTTAACGAAATTACATAATAAAAAACCTAGAATAACTATTTTAGTTATTTTGTTGTGATTGTATAATATTATTCGTGGGTACTTGAAACTTCTAAAGTATACTACTATATATCTATGATAGTATCAGGGTTTGTTGTTGGTGTATTACGCGTTATAAGTACCTAATGGATATTGTAATATGATTAATTTGGAATTCATTATAGGTCAATTTTTTTTAATGCCATAGTTAAGTATATAATATGTCTTATACCTAAAAGGACATACCGTCTCCGCTCAGAATCGTTTTTCTTATACAATGATATAATATCATTGAATTCAAATGTAATACCATGAATTATACAGTGACCCACTTGTAACTTACTGTAAAGCAGAGCGACACCCACTTGCCCACCTTTTTTTTTTTATTTATTATTACCATATTTTTTCTATATTTTTATTTGATCCCTTGAATTGCTCTGTATGATCATAAATGTATAACTTTTGTCATAATTTTTTTTATAATCATAAATGTATAATGTATTATCGTAGGTACAATCGTACATTTTTATATAAATTATTGGTTATCGAAAATACAAAATGTAAGTGGCGAGCGTCAACTAATCTTGAGTGGCGTGGGAATTGCCTTCCTGGGGGGGTCAACTTAACCAGTACCATACATTATTATAACCCCTCCCTAAAAAAAATTTTGGATACTCCACTGGTAATAAGTAAGGTACATTTTCATTCAAATGATATTACAATACTACTATTTTGACTATTTTGAACAATTATTTTAACAGTAGTTAAGACTAATTATTGTATTAAACAATAATAATTACAGACTACAGTAACAGTTTGTGCAGAAGTGAATAATCATTTGGTATGTAACCAATCAGCCAGCCCAATAACCTTCCCAATAAGTTTACCTCACACAATTCATTGTGGTGATTCCGATAGCCCTCGGGAAGTCACGGCTTCGGTCGAGCAGCATGCAGTGGGGACTACTCGCCTTTGTACGGTCTCGTGTCTACAAGCAGTAGGTACAATATCACAGTCGACATTTCTTCAGTAGTCCAACTCCACTCTTCAGGCACACTCTACACCAGTAGTCATCAGTTGTAATACCTATCAATACTATACGCTCAGTTTAATTTTCGCAAAGTGTTCGCATTATTTTGTCTTTTATTTTATATTCCATTTAAGCAATAATAATTTCAACAAGAGAAAATCTGATGTTGTGTAAATGAACAGCCAGTCGCACATCCGTGAGTAAAAATGCTATATCATAATAAAAATAAATATGGAATTAAATATTATATAGGTAACAAGCTCAAGAATTTAATAAATATTAAAATATAAAAATAAAACAAATTTATCCGGTTTGCCTTTGTTAACAGTAGTGAAAACGACGTTTTTAATATTTATTATATACACATTTTAAGTCATTCAATTAAATTTAGTTTATATTTGCATTATTTATGGTCTTTCTTGTTCATTTTCTATAATAATAATATATCATTCGCAGTGTACATTATACAATACATCATATTATACATTTTATTTTAATCTAGAAAACTATTAATCATCTACATTAAGTCATTACCTAGGTACTTGGCTACTTTTAGTAGATATACATAATTATTATTATGTTTTATTGGGGTATTTTCAGAGCGAATTAAAATATTTAGAATTAAACGTTATCTACTGGATAACGGATGTTCCATGTTTATAATAATATGGAAATCGTGTTTTATAAAGTAAAAACAAGGGTACTTTTACTTAGTTATGATTTGAAGTCTTTAAACTTAATAGTTTATTTGTAAAAACATAAATAAAAGTTCATATCCAACAATTTATGTCATTGTATGAAATTAACGAATATGTTAGAAAAAATAATTAACTTAGAAAGTGTTTGAAAACATGTGATATCTAGAAAATGTATACTTGGTTTATGCCGGGCTTACTACTTTACATTATAAACTGTACCTACATTTAATTTTAAGAAATAAATTAATAGAAAGTAAAAAAAAAAATTTTAAGTAATTTTTTTTTTTTTATTAAGAAATCAAAAACAAAACATATTTTATGCAATAACATTAAATTGAACAAGAATTGAACCTACTTCCTGTAAGCTTATACAGATTGTGTTGAAGATAGGGAGTTATGATTACTGCTAAATATAATAAAAATAACATAATCTAAATATATATAAATTTTAAAAATTAACACAACATATTAAACAAATTCAAAATAAAAAACTTAAATTAAAGACTACAGAAAATATTTTTAATAGACAAGAAAAAAGTTTTATTTTATATAGAACAAACATTATCGATAAATAAATAAATTAAATAAATAAAATTATGTGTTATATAGGTACTGACGGTACAACAGATAATCAAAACAAATTTGTTTATATTACCGCAAATCGTTATGTAATTCATAGAATAGATGTATTAATGTTAGTGTATCATGCCTTTAATATTTACAATTTCACAACCTAGTATCTTTTTTTTAAATTTATAAGGCATAGAATTGAAAAAGGTTGGGCCTTGATAGTCCACAAAACGCTGACCAAATGATTTATTCGCAAATTTAATAGTCAAGTCATATTTTCTCATTTTTCTTTTGTTGCTTAATTCTTTATAATTGTTATCTAAATGAAATGTCTTAATCATGTACATAATAGCAATTTTTTTATATAAAATCCTTATTGGCAGCACACCAAATTCTTTATAGTTAGCATTCGTACATCCTTGTAGAGTGAGTTTATTAAGACACATTCTAACTATATTATTTTGATTGACTACAAGTGCATTTACGATGCTGTCTCGAAGTCCACCCCATGCCAGTATACCATATTCAAAATTGGATTGATACAGTGCAAAGTAAACTATTTTATTTGTTGGTTTTATAGGTACTATGTTTTTGAGTTTGACCATTTTATAAATAATGAAGCGTAGCTTTCCTAATAAATTGTTAATACGAATATTCCATCTTAAGTTATTATCAAATAAACGCCCAAGTATCGAATTTTTTCAACCATTTTAATTATTTTGCAGTTTTGTGGATTACAAATTTTATTAATTTCGCAGCCATGAACAGCTAAAGTGTTAAAGTTTAAATCAGTTTAGCTAGCCTGACAATTTTAGTGAAATTATTCTTGTACTTTTTAAAATGCAAAGCTAACGATAAATTATTAGGTTGTTTTTTGACTTTCGTTGAGAGAAATTGTTTGCGGCGGGCTGAAGTTAATAATCCAATAGTCTTATTTTTGGATTTTAATAATATATGAGTTGTGGATTTATCAATTGCTTTTCTAATTATTTTATCAAAGACATCATAGCAGCTATTAACATCACTACCGGCATTATATACTTCAGTCCAATTTTCATTGGCTAATATTGATGTAATTGAATTATAATAATAGCATTAATTGGATAGAAACACAAATCGTACAGTGATCCGTTATATCAGTAAGTATAACACCAGCATTAATTTTACTCGCTTATTATTAATAAAAATATGGTCTAAACAAGAACTTGTACTCTTAATTCAAGCTAGG